TAAGCAGGAGGGCAGAATTACGTCTAAACTGAGGCCATTTTGTATTTCTATAGGTTGTATACGAGCATGGTTTTAAATACTATCATGTTTAATCATGTTTTATGCCGTTTGCTAAGACTTGATGTCGCTCATAAAACACAGGAGGTATGGAAACTAAGAACACCATATATTTGGTAGATTTGGCAACTGATAACTCAACACATTCGTTTTATTTCCTTTAACTGGTGGATATAGAGTTGCTGCGGGGGGGGTTGAGGCGCACAGGCTGCGGTGGAGACGCTGCTCACAGCTGATCGACAGCTGATCGACAGCTGATCGACAGCTGATAGACAGCTGGAATACAAACCACCAAATAAAAAAATAAACATTAATTGACTCCACTCCGCAGGGATCCCCGATACTTTCTTACAGTTTCTCATCATGGGGGGGGGTGTCTCCTGTTCCCAACACAAACATTCTGACACACTGCCTGAGGAAGGTTAAATGTTTTTTGTCATTAACTTTTTTCGGACCACTTATTTATTTATTTTGGTGACGATCCGACCTCCATGCTGCTACTCTGGTTCAAATTGCATCCACCAAACAATATGATTTATCTCCACCTCCCCAAATTAACCTAAATCTGACATGGTGTGAGATGTCTTTTTTAGCTGTTCTGTCGTCATTTCCTGCGATCTTCTTTATGCAGTCAGTCAAAATGAATATTAATACGGGGCGTTTCTTTGACTATTTATAGGCAAATATGGGCGTTACGTGAAGCCCGCAAAAAGCTGCACCGCATTTCGAGTTGATTGTGATTTATAAAGGGAAACCGGCAAGTCCTACGCCGGTATGCAGTGTTTTATGAATCGGAAAATGTCTGTGCGTATTTATTTGCTTTGTCCTACATAAGCAACCTTCCCACGTGAATCCTACACAAGGCTTTACAAATGAAGCCCCAGGACACCAGCGTAGACACGTATTTAAGTCATTTTAAACTGCAGATATTACAGTTAAAATGTTAGATCACTTTAGGGACATTAATGTTTGTGGGAGAGCGGAGCTGTAATTAAATGTATGCTTTTGTTTCTACGAAAGCTTAGACATTTGTCATTGTATACATTTAGGTAGATTCTCATCGACTAACTATCTTAGAATCTGGATAGTTAAACCCAGAAGCTAGTGGAGCCGGCTAGCTTGAATTGGACTTTAGTTCTTAATTGATCAAATCAAATACTTTTTTTCGGTGGTTATCTTGATTATAATTAAATGACACTTGAAAATGGGAGCATAATCGTCACACTATCAACTAGCGTGTCACTGTGATACCCTAACAATCCCCGTCTTAACAACAAACGATAGGCAGAGATAAAATCCAGAGGCGAAAGAACAGACATGTTTTTTATTTCAAGTGTTCAGAAATCCTAACCTACTTAGCTAACAATGTAGATATTTCTGTCTGTGTGTGATTACCTGACCTATTTCTTCAGGGTGTTCAAATGTATTTGTTAAAGATCAGGACAATGTGACTCATCAAACCAGTGATCGGTACTGGAAACAAAACTCTCACAATGTGTCTCTGAGTATGAGTCCATATGTGTGAATCTGTGTGTGCAGTTTACTCACATGTAATGCTTTTGCCGGGTGTTGTGAGCTCCGTGTGTGAGAGGCGGCTGCTCCACTTGTCTTCATCATCCCCTCGCAACCTTTCTGGGGTGCCATTTAACCTCAATATGAGGGGCTCAGTATAGGTGTGGGCCTCATCTGAAAAACAAACCAACACAGATGCATACACAATTAAAAAAACAAAAAGTTTTCTGTAAGATCACACATGTTTATGTTTAGTTTATTTAAAGGTTTTTTGAGGTTCATGTTCCTGAGTGACTACTGCTTTCCATGCGGATATTATCGGATATCAGCAGCAAGCTGTTTTCCCGCTTGTAGTAAACTTGTCTACACTCATGTCATTTCCCATCTACTAGCACTTAATTAATTTAAACCGAGTAGTTCTGCTGACTTCAACAAAGCAGAAGATTTTGTCTGTATGTGTGTGCTCTGTCCTGCACTTGCATCTGGAAGTAGTTAAATCCAACCCCTTGGGACTGTTTAGGGGTCTATGTGTATGCTTGTGAAACCTGAAATCTGTGTGAGTCTGTGTGTGCTGCGATTGTGTTTAAGAGTGGGTGTGTGTGTTTATAATGAACAAGGAAGACGACATACACATTATTTAAATACAGTAAATACATGTCTGGGTGTTTTATGTGTTCACCGGTACCATGCAGTGCTCTAATGAAGCTGTTATTATGTGCACACAGACACACACACGTATATACTAACATACATACATACACACCACACAGAGGCCTTCAAAGCCACGCAGGCTTGGGCCTCTGAGAGGTGCAGACTCATTCCTGGGCAAATGGGAGCCAGCTGGGTTTGATAAACACACACACACACACACACACACACACACACACACACACACACACACACACACACACACACACACACACACACACAC